GCACTGACATGCACAGGCCCGGGTAAAAGATAGAAAGCTCTGCATGTAACAAAAACACGTGGTTGTGTTCATAGATTGATGATTTCAGTTAAAGTTAATTTTTCTTTTTGGGGTTGAAACAGCCATTCCCATTTCTCTCACAATTGCCCAATTCTTACGAACATGTTTTAAAAAGTTTTACCTTGTACAAATAAACTCATTTCTTACGTTGTGAAATTATTAATTTTTTTAAAAAGAAAAACTCTCTTGTGTATTAAACATAACATTTCGTTGTTCATGCATGTTCTTCTATCGCTGAAGATTTTAAAATCCTTTACGGGAAATTTTAGGTATTACCTAAGCCGTTACAAGGACGAAACTCTAAAACGGTAAACCTCTAAAACGGTAAACCTTATAGTCGATTACTTACCATCGCAGTTTGAAATATTGTTTTATGAGTTTCGAAAAAGTAAGGCTAATTATCTAAATTTTGAACACATTGACTATACGTTGCGCGAAATCGTTTAAAATTTGCCCAATTATTCAAAGAGGGGACGGGCAATCTGTTCGGTAAATAACAATTGACATTCCAAGCGAAAAGCACAAAAGCGATACCATGAATATTTATCAGAATGACGTTGTTTGACGTACCTCATTGAGTAACAGTTCAGTAAATTGAAAGTATTCTAAACTTTGTGGATCATTATAGGCAGAGATGTAGACGCGATTTATAATCACAAATTGACCTTCGACAGAGGCTTGAATATCTATAAAAGGGAAGAAAAGACGCATGTAGGTTGCAGTTTAATTGAATTAGTTTATGCGGGGTAGGACAGGACATGTATACTGTAAAATTTTGATTGTGTAAGTAAAAGAGTCATGCATAGTGTATGCGTGTACTAAAATGAATGCGAGCTGAGTTATTTAATTAATCATAATCTTCTGTGATCGTTGGCAAACACTGTATTATCATATCAAAGCATGAATAATTAATGACATTTTTACCCAACCAAATTTCGTGAATAAGGTCACATTCACACCCTGCATACCACAAACAAATTAGATTGACTGTATCGGAAAAATACAACCACTAGTGTTTGTAACTGATTTGCATAATTTTTATATATATGCATTCAAATCTTATTTATTACAAATTCATTTCACAAGTTGTTTACAACACTCCCTAAACCTGGAGGATATTGCCGATCAATGTCTTGATACATTATGACAACAAAACGATCTTATATTGGAAAACGAAATGTTGATTTTACAACACCCGTGTAACTTATTAGTACCTGATGTAAGTATATATTTTTGGTCCAGTGGAGCTTTACTCGTATTTAAATTGTTCATAATCACGCATTGCACCACTCACTTCATTACCCCAAACATAAATGTTTGTTTCTTTTTGATATGATGAAATCGTAAAATCTTTGTAGCCCTTTGTCGCAGTCTTTTAAATGTACTAACATTGAAATCACGATTTTTTCTGTTTTAAAAATTTCCAGGGATGAAAAGTGCTAACTTAAATGTTTCCGTAATCGATGCTGAATATTTGTTCTCAAAAAAGTATATGAAGAACGCGAGAATTAAACGAAAAATGTAATTAATTAGGGTTTTACCTCAAGCAAACAAAAGGAATCGATTGTAAAACGTTTATTACTGCAGAAGTTTTATTTATTAGTTCAGCTCCGAGGAAAAAATATTAAGAACTAAATAAAACTAATTCAGTCGTTCTAGCGTCAAAACCTAGTTTGTTATCGTGTTCACAAAAATCGTCTATCTTCCACTATTTGGTGTTTTTGGTCTGGGTAACTATAGTGATTGAAGATTCCTACAAGTCTTTTTTTACTCAGAGCAACTTGGCTTGCAATAGACATAATTTTTAACACACAGCTCTTTCAGATTTTTATACAACATTTTCTACTTTTTCTAGTATTTCATTAACTTTATAGCCTTTGCTAGGACGTACAGGACTGTTTAGTTTCTATGCAAATAATTTCGCGCCATTTTATTTCTTTTGGCAAAATCATTCGGGTAATTACAAAATCAACCAATATAATTTTCAAAATTTTCAGTACTTGATAATAAGTACAATTTGAATAACAAAAATTGATAAATTTCATATTTTGTACTCTGAATGGCGACTGGCTAGTTGTATATACTAGAGTGTTTTTTTATTTGCAATGAGAAAAAGTGCAATTACAACTCGCAAAATATGCAATTTCTAAAGCTAATCATGCGATTTCGAGTACAATTCAAGAATTATAGTACTCGTGATGTTTAAGCAATGTTTAGGGGTACAAATTCTGCCCAGATATTTTAATGACGCCAAAGCATTTTGTCGCACAATATACAGACCCAAAGTTGTTTAAATTCTAATTTTGTGGACAGTGCATGCTGGACATTAGACAATCGATGTTTTTGTTGATTAGGCGCATGCGCGAAATGTGAACCAGACTGGTAATCAGTAATTGACTAGGCTTGTATTGCATTGAAAACAAACAATCGGCTTAAGAGGAAGTTCAGGCACATGCAGGTGACCCAGGTTGCCAACGATGTTAAGCTACATGCACGCGAAACCTACCAGTACATTCTTCATCAATAATTTGCTGTCGTGGACTGGTACAATGGCAACGGTATGCTCCAGGGAAGTTAACACATTCTTGACCTTGACCTGAACATTTTCGCGATGCTCCAACACATTCGTTTATGTCTGGAAAGAAAAATATGGAAAATCCAATAGACCTATTGGGTAATTACATCACAACATTATCGTTTCTCCTTAAGTAGATGAGATGGATTTCTCACGAGCCACGCGCAAAGATACAAAACATCCTTCTTCACCGCATTGACGAAAAAGATTTTTTTATTTTGATAAATAAGTATGGAAACAACTAGTAATAACTCGAGAACGAAGCTTGCGGTCTTCGCCCCTGAGCCTCTTTCTCATGTTATGGCTTATTTCTACATTTATTGGACAAAAGATCTTTTTCATGCATTTGTTGAAAAGGATCTTTTGCATTTTTGCAAGTGGCTCGAGAGAGTAAAACTTGAATAAAATGCATTTCATTTAAGGTGTATCTACATTAATATCTCCAACTAAAAGTTTGAACAGCTTCAAAAGAATCCTGGTCGCCCAGTTGTTTATTAAAAACCGGTTAACGCTAACCTAGCTGGATTCTGCTGGAATTAAATTTAACCTGTTTTGGAAACCTCCCGCTGCACCTGAATTGAAGGCGATCCGATGTATTTTGATTCTAGGATTTTTGATCTTGGGATTTTTTATCAGGATGCAGTAAGTGCAACTAATCCTAATGAACTGCGCCGATACTCTGCTTCTTCACGTCATTGTAGTCAATTAAAATTGTGATGTATCTAGCGCGAAAATTCATTTTTTCTTGCCACTTATTTGCTTCGGGTACGAGGTTGTAATAATCGTTTGCTTTCATTTAAAGAGTGAAATTGAGTTAGAGAGACAATAAAGAAGCGTATTTATAGAAGTAAATTTCACACTTTTATGTAATTTGATTGGATTCCAATCGACCCAAATAAACCTTTTCAGCTTGCATGCAAGTTAACCCATTTCATATGTTGTGACCATGGAATAACCAAGAAAAATAACTTGAAATGGGTCAAATGCATACAAGCTGAAAACGTCTATTGTTACATGGGATGTACCAAAAATTCTCATTTGCCATAACGTGAAAAAAATTAAAGCTCTTGAACTGGAATAAACCCCCATTGAATGTGGAAAGACATATAAGTAAGGATATCAAATTAAAATTTAGCTTACTTTTATCATTTTCTTCATTGCTTCATAGAAAAATTCATTATATTCACAGTCATTGAACACAAAAATAATAATAGCAAATTGGGAAAAAAATCATCAGCCGGCAAGGGCATAATACCGATTTGTATAATGTACGAAAGGTTTAACAAGATCATCACATCAAAATCGTTTTGGATAATTTCACGCGTGATTTAGGTATGCAGAAAACTCTATCTATTCGAAAAAACAAAGACCGCATTTGCGCTTACAGTGACGAGGTTTTCCTCAACAAATAACAATGCTTTACTTTCAAAACGACAAACTAATGCTGCATTTGTAAGAGTATACAATGCAAGACTAGACTGTGCAAAAGTGTGAAATCATAACAATGGTTCCTGATAAATAAAAGTTACAAGAAGCTTTATATATACCCGGTAAATTCAAGCGTATTTATAAAATTAAGCGTATTTATAGCCGGTGGATTAACACTCGGTAAATTTAAAATGGTGCAACCAAGATTACACGTTGCTTGGCTGTGACAATTATGCGTTGCAAATATGCATTCCTCCAAATCTTCAAAGATAATAATACATCATGAATATTAAACATCCGAGTTGGTTTTTATTAATGCATGTTCATATAATACTGTCCAATTAGACTGTAGTTATAATTGTTAGTTTCAGTGAAGTATAAATGCCTCTTATGATTAACCTTTAATTAACATCTTAAACGTAAATAGACAATGAATAATCTATGCAAAAACCTCGGTCTGAAATTTCACAGCACAGATTGAACAAGCGAGCTCAATAATCTGTTTATTATACGGCTGAACTGGTCCTGCTCCGGAATATACGGACCACAGTCCGGAGAGCTTTACGCACCGCTCGACCTTCAACCAATCAGAATAGATGATTTTGAACAGCCATATAATAAATCATGAATACTAAACTAGTTATACCATGGTTGAAGATTTTGAATACATCAAAAGTTTAAGGTATTTTAAAAAACTTTGCAATACATTTTTCTTATTGAAAAATTTTCTCTTGATGGATTTATGAGCCTTTAAAGTTGCCAGACATGGGGTTAAACAAAAGAAAACTGATTTGCAATTCCCGATTTGAGGTCTTGTCTGGTAACTTTAAAGGTTCATAAATCCATCAAGATTTTTCTATAACAAAATGTTTTGTATTTTTTTTATAATGCCTTAAACTTTTTATATATTTAAAATCAACAACATGGTATATTCACTTTAAGCGATCGAGTTGATTTTCTTTAAATAATAACGTCCAATTAGATTGTATAAGTCATTATTGTCACTTTCAGTGAAATATAAATGTATTTTATGATTAACTGTTAACATTTTAAACGGAAATAAATAAGGAATAATTATCAGGAACTATTGTTGCAAAAAAATTATCTGAAATAAATGTTGATGACTTGCATACATATAATGTAAATTTGTTGGCAAACCGCGATTAGACAATAGCTGATCAACGAACGGGTGCAATTGTTCTGGGAGCGGTTGAAAAGTTGTATTGTTAATTGCATACCTTCACATATGGTTCCATTTCCTGTATAACCTTTATTGCAGGTACAATTGAACGACCCAGTGGTATTACTGCACGTTGCCTGACTGTGACAATTATGAGCCCCAACTGTGCATTCGTCAACATCTTTAACGGCAATAAAAATTAAATATTAAACGACCGAGTTGGTTTTCCTTAATGCACGTGCGTTCATATAATAACGTCCAATTAGATTGTATAATTGATTTATAATTGTCACTTTTTGAAGTATAAATGATTTTTATGATTAACTATTAATGGTTATTATCTTGCTGAGCAGTTTATAGTATAATTATAGGTGTGCCAAAGATAGTGTTGCATGCCTGTTAGTGGTCTCGTCCGATTCCAGAAGTTTAGATTTTAAATTTAGAGCAAAATTAGAACGAAATTGTAATGCAAAGTACGTACCTTTGCACGTGATTCCATCTCCTGTATAACCTTCATTACAGGTACAATTGAACGAACCAGCGGTGTTTTTACACGTTGCTTGGCTGTGACAATTATGCGTTGCAAGTATGCATTCCTCCAAATCTTCAAAGATAATAATACATCATGAATATTAAACATCCGAGTTGGTTTTTATTAATGCATGTTCATATAATACTGTCCAATTAGACTGTAGTTATAATTGTTAGTTTCAGTGAAGTATAAATGCCTCTTATGATTAACCTTTAATTAACATCTTAAACGTAAATAGACAATGAATAATCTATGCAAAAACCTCGGTCTGAAATTTCACAGCACAGATTGAACAAGCGAGCTCAATAATCTGTTTATTATACGGCTGAACTGGTCCTGCTCCAGAATATACGGACCACAGTCCGGAGAGCTTTACGCACCGCTCGACCTTCAACCAATCAGAATACATGATTTTGAACAGCCATATAATAAATCATGAATACTAAACTGGTTATACCATGGTTGAAGATTTTGAATACATCAAAAGTTTAAGGTATTTTAAAAAACTTTGCAATACATTTTTCTTATTGAAAAATTTTCTCTTGATGGATTTATGAGCCTTTAAAGTTGCCAGACATGGGGTTAAACAAAAGAAAACTGATTTGCAATTCCCGATTTGAGGTCTTGTCTGGTAACTTTAAAGGTTCATAAATCCATCAAGATTTTTCTATAACAAAATGTTTTGTATTTTTTTTATAATGCCTTAAACTTTTTATATATTTAAAATCAACAACATGGTATATTCACTTTAAGCGATCGAGTTGATTTTCTTTAAATAATAACGTCCAATTAGATTGTATAAGTCATTATTGTCACTTTCAGTGAAATATAAATGTATTTTATGATTAACTGTTAACATTTTAAACGGAAATAATAAGGGATAATTATCAGGAACTATTGTTGCAAATAAATTATCTGAAATAAATGTTGATGACTTGCATACATATAATGTAAATTTGTTGGCAAACCGCGATTAGACAATAGCTGATCAACGAACGGGTGCAATTGTTCTGGGAGCGGTTGAAAAGTTGTATTGTTAATTGCATACCTTCACATATGGTTCCATTTCCTGTATAACCTTTATTGCAGGTACAATTGAACGACCCAGTGGTATTACTGCACGTTGCCTGACTGTGACAATTATGAGCCCCAAGTGTGCATTCGTCAACATCTTTAACGGCAATAAAAATTAAATATTAAACGACCGAGTTGGTTTTCCTAAATGCACGTGCGTTCATATAATAACGTGCAATTAGATTGTATAATTGATTTATAATTGTCACTTTTTGAAGTATAAATGATTTTTATGATTAACTATTAATGGTTATTATCTTGCTGAGCAGTTTATAGTATAATATAGGTGTGCCAAAGATAGTGTTGCATGCCTGTTAGTGGTCTCGTCCGATTCCAGAAGTTTAGATTTTAAATTTAGAGCAAAATTAGAACGAAATTGTAATGCAAAGTACGTACCTTTGCACGTGATTCCATCTCCTGTATAACCTTCATTACAGGTACAATTGAACGAACCAGCGGTGTTTTTACACGTTGCTTGGCTGTGACAATTATGCGTTGCAAGTATGCATTCCTCCAAATCTTCAAAGATAATAATACATCATGAATATTAAACATCCGAGTTGGTTTTTATTAATGCATGTTCATATAATACTGTCCAATTAGACTGTAGTTATAAAAATTTTGTTAGTTTTAGTGAAGTATAAATGCCTCTTATGATTAACCTTTAATTAACATCTTAAACGTAAATAGACAATGAATAATCTATGCAAAAACCTCGGTCTGAAATTTCACAGCACAGATTGAACAAGCGAGCTCAATAATCTGTTTATTATACGGCTGAACTGGTCCTGCTCCGGAATATACGGACCACAGTCCGGAGAGCTTTACGCACCGCTCGACCTTCAACCAATCAGAATAGATGATTTTGAACAGCCATATAATAAATCATGAATACTAAACTGTTATACCATGGTTGAAGATTTTGAATACATCAAAAGTTTAAGGTATTTTAAAAAACTTTGCAATACATTTTTCTTATTGAAAAATTTTCTCTTGATGGATTTATGAGCCTTTAAAGTTGCCAGACATGGGGTTAAACAAAAGAAAACTGATTTGCAATTCCCGATTTGAGGTCTTGTCTGGTAACTTTAAAGGTTCATAAATCCATCAAGATTTTTCTATAACAAAATGTTTTGTATTTTTTTTATAAGCCTTAAACTTTTTATATATTTAAAATCAACAACATGGTATATTCACTTTAAGCGATCGAGTTGATTTTCTTTAAATAATAACGTCCAATTAGATTGTATAAGTCATTATTGTCACTTTCAGTGAAATATAAATGTATTTTATGATTAACTGTTAACATTTTAAACGGAAATAAATAAGGAATAATTATCAGGAACTATTGTTGCAAATAAATTATCTGAAATAAATGTTGATGACTTGCATACATATAATGTAAATTTGTTGGCAAACCGCGATTAGACAATAGCTGATCAACGAACGGGTTGCAATTGTTCTGGTTGAAAAGTTGTATTGTTAATTGCATACCTTCACATATGGTTCCATTTCCTGTATAACCTTTATTGCAGGTACAATTGAACGACCCAGTGGTATTACTGCACGTTGCCTGACTGTGACAATTATGAGCCCCAAGTGTGCATTCGTCAACATCTTTAACGGCAATAAAATTAAATATTAAACGACCGAGTTGGTTTTCCTAAATGCACGTGCGTTCATATAATAACGTGCAATTAGATTGTATAATTGATTTATAATTGTCACTTTTTGAAGTATAAATGATTTTTATGATTAACTATTAATGGTTATTATCTTGCTGAGCAGTTTATAGTATAATTATAGGTGTGCCAAAGATAGTGTTGCATGCCTGTTAGTGGTCTCGTCCGATTCCAGAAGTTTAGATTTTAAATTTAGAGCAAAATTAGAACGAAATTGTAATGCAAAACGTACCTTTGCACGTGCATCTCCTGTATAACCTTCATTACAGGTACAATTGAACGAACCAGCGGTGTTTTACACGTTGCTTGGCTGTGACAATTATGCGTTGCAAGTATGCATTCCTCCAAATCTTCAAAGATAATACATCATGAATATTAAACATCCGAGTTGGTTTTTTTAATGCATGTTCATATAATACTGTCCAATTAGACTGTAGTTATAAAAATTTGTTAGTTTTAGTGAAGTATAAATGCCTCTTATGATTAACCTTTAATTAACATCTTAAACGTAAATAGACAATGAATAATCTATGCAAAAACCTCGGTCTGAAATTTCACAGCACAGATTGAACAAGCGAGCTCAATAATCTGTTTATTATACGGCTGAACTGGTCCTGCTCCGAAATATACGGACCACAGTGCGGAGAGCTTTACGCACCGCTCGACCGTCAACGAACAGCCATATCATAAATCATGAATACTAAACTGGTTATACCATGGTTGAAGATTTTGAATACATCAAAAGTTTAAGGTATTTTAAAAAACTTTGCAATACATTTTTCTTATTGAAAAATTTTCTCTTGATGGATTTATGAGCCTTTAAAGTTGCCAGACATGGGTTAAACAAAAGAAAACTGATTTGCAATTCCCGATTTGAGGTCTTGTCTGGTAACTTTAAAGGTTCATAAATCCATCAAGATTTTTCTATAACAAAATGTTTTGTATTTTTTTTATAATGCCTTAAACTTTTTATATATTTAAAATCAACAACATGGTATATTCACTTTAAGCGATCGAGTTGATTTTCTTTAAATAATAACGTCCAATTAGATTGTATAGTCATTATTGTCACTTTCAGTAAATATATTAACTGTTAACATTTTAAACGGAATAATAAGGATAATTATCAGGAACTATTGTTGCAAAAATTATCTGAAATAAATGTTGATGACTTGCATACATATAATGTAAATTTGTTGGCAAACCGCGATTAGACAATAGCTGATCAACGAACGGGTGCAATTGTTCTGGGGCGGTTGAAAAGTTGTATTGTTAATTGCATACCTTCACATATGGTTCCATTTCCTGTATAACTTTATTGCAGGTACAATTGAACGACCCAGTGGTATTACTGCACGTTGCCTGACAATTATGAGCCCAACTGTGCATTCGTCAACATCTTTAACGGCAATAAAAATTAAATATTAAACGACCGAGTTGGTTTTCCTTGCACGTGCGTTCATATAATAACGTGCATTAGATTGTATAATTGATTTATAATTTGCACTTTTGAAGAAATGATTTTTATGATTATTATGGTTATTATCTTGCGAGCAGTTTATAGTATAATTATAGGTGTGCCAAAGATAGTGTTGCATGCCTGTTAGTGGTCTCGTCCGATTCCAGAAGTTTAGATTTTAAATTTAGAGCAAAATTAGAACGAAATTGTAATGCAAAGTACGTACCTTTGCACGTGATTCCATCTCCTGTATAACCTTCATTACAGGTACAATTGAACGAACCAGCGGTGTTTTTACACGTTGCTTGGCTGTGACAATTATGCGTTGCAAGTATGCATTCCTCCAAATCTTCAAAGATAATAATACATCATGAATATTAAACATCCGAGTTGGTTTTTATTAATGCATGTTCATATAATACTGTCCAATTAGACTGTAGTTATAATTGTTAGTTTCAGTGAAGTATAAATGCCTCTTATGATTAACCTTTAATTAACATCTTAAACGTAAATAGACAATGAATAATCTATGCAAAAACCTCGGTCTGAAATTTCACAGCACAGATTGAACAAGCGAGCTCAATAATCTGTTTATTATACGGCTGAACTGGTCCTGCTCCGAATATACGGACCACAGTCCGGAGAGCTTTACGCACCGCTCGACCTTCAACCAATCAGAATGATTTTGAACAGCCATATAATAAATCATGAATACTAAACTGGTTATACCATGGTTGAAGATTTTGAATACATCAAAAGTTTAAGGTATTTTAAAAAACTTTGCAATACATTTTTCTTATTGAAAAATTTTCTCTTGATGGATTTATGAGCCTTTAAAGTTGCCAGACATGGGGTTAAACAAAAGAAAACTGATTTGCAATTCCCGATTTGAGGTCTTGTCTGGTAACTTTAAAGGTTCATAAATCCATCAAGATTTTTCTATAACAAAATGTTTTGTATTTTTTTTATAATGCCTTAAACTTTTTATATATTTAAAATCAACAACATGGTATATTCACTTTAAGCGATCGAGTTGATTTTCTTTAAATAATAACGTCCAATTAGATTGTATAAGTCATTATTGTCACTTTCAGTGAAATATAAATGTATTTTATGATTAACTGTTAACATTTTAAACGGAAATAATAAGGATAATTATCAGGAACTATTGTTGCAAATAAATTATCTGAAATAAATGTTGATGACTTGCATACATATAATGTAAATTTGTTGGCAAACCGCGATTAGACAATAGCTGATCAACGAACGGGTGCAATTGTTCTGGGAGCGGTTGAAAAGTTGTATTGTTAATTGCATACCTTCACATATGGTTCCATTTCCTGTATAACCTTTATTGCAGGTACAATTGAACGACCCAGTGGTATTACTGCACGTTGCCTGACTGTGACAATTATGAGCCCCAACTGTGCATTCGTCAACATCTTTAACGGCAATAAAAATTAAATATTAAACGACCGAGTTGGTTTTCCTAATGCACGTGCGTTCATATAATAACGTGCAATTAGATTGTATAATTGATTTATAATTGTCACTTTTTGAAGTATAAATGATTTTTATGATTAACTATTAATGGTTATTATCTTGCTGAGCAGTTTATAGTATAATTATAGGTGTGCCAAAGATAGTGTTGCATGCCTGTTAGTGGTCTCGTCCGATTCCAGAAGTTTAGATTTTAAATTTAGAGCAAAATTAGAACGAAATTGTAATGCAAAGTACGTACCTTTGCACGTGATTCCATCTCCTGTATAACCTTCATTACAGGTACAATTGAACGAACCAGCGGTGTTTTTACACGTTGCTTGGCTGTGACAATTATGCGTTGCAAGTATGCATTCCTCCAAATCTTCAAAGATAATAATACATCATGAATATTAAACATCCGAGTTGGTTTTTATTAATGCATGTTCATATAATACTGTCCAATTAGACTGTAGTTATAATTTTGTTAGTTTAGTGAAGTATAATGCCTCTTATGATTAACCTTTAATTAACATCTTAAACGTAAATAGACAATGAATAATCTATGCAAAAACCTCGGTCTGAAATTTCACAGCACAGATTGAACAAGCGAGCTCAATAATCTGTTTATTATACGGCTGAACTGGTCCTGCTCCGAATATACGGACCACAGTCCGGAGAGCTTTACGCACCGCTCGACCTTCAACCAATCAGAATAGATGATTTTGAACAGCCATATAATAAATCATGAATACTAAACTGGTTATACCATGGTTGAAGATTTTGAATACATCAAAAGTTTAAGGTATTTTAAAAAACTTTGCAATACATTTTTCTTATTGAAAAATTTTCTCTTGATGGATTTATGAGCCTTTAAAGTTGCCAGACATGGGGTTAAACAAAAGAAAACTGATTTGCAATTCCCGATTTGAGGTCTTGTCTGGTAACTTTAAAGGTTCATAAATCCATCAAGATTTTTCTATAACAAAATGTTTTGTATTTTTTTATAATGCCTTAAACTTTTTATATATTTAAAATCAACAACATGGTATATTCACTTTAAGCGATCGAGTTGATTTTCTTTAAATAATAACGTCCAATTAGATTGTATAAGTCATTATTGTCACTTTCAGTGAAATATAAATGTATTTTATGATTAACTGTTAACATTTTAAACGGAAAAATAAGGATAATTATCAGGAACTATTGTTGCAAATAAATTATCTGAAATAAATGTTGATGACTTGCATACATATAATGTAAATTTGTTGGCAAACCGCGATTAGACAATAGCTGATCAACGAACGGGTGCAATTGTTCTGGGAGCGGTTGAAAGTTGTATTGTAATTGCATACCTTCACATATGGTTCCATTTCCTGTATAACCTTTATTGCAGGTACAATTGAACGACCCAGTGGTATTACTGCACGTTGCCTGACTGTGACAATTATGAGCCCCAAGTGTGCATTCGTCAACATCTTTAACGGCAATAAAAATTAAATATTAAACGACCGAGTTGGTTTTCCTAAATGCACGTGCGTTCATATAATAACGTGCAATTAGATTGTATAATTGATTTATAATTGTCACTTTTTGAAGTATAAATGATTTTTATGATTAACTATTAATGGTTATTATCTTGCTGAGCAGTTTATAGTATAATTATAGGTGTGCCAAAGATAGTGTTGCATGCCTGTTAGTGGTCTCGTCCGATTCCAGAAGTTTAGATTTTAAATTTAGAGCAAAATTAGAACGAAATTGTAATGCAAAGTACGTACCTTTGCACGTGATTCCATCTCCTGTATAACCTTCATTACAGGTACAATTGAACGAACCAGCGGTGTTTTTACACGTTGCTTGGCTGTGACAATTATGCGTTGCAAGTATGCATTCCTCCAAATCTTCAAAGATAATAATACATCATGAATATTAAACATCCGAGTTGGTTTTTATTAATGCATGTTCATATAATACTGTCCAATTAGACTGTAGTTATAAAAATTTTGTTAGTTTTAGTGAAGTATAAATGCCTCTTATGATTAACCTTTAATTAACATCTTAAACGTAAATAGACAATGAATAATCTATGCAAAAACCTCGGTCTGAAATTTCACAGCACAGATTGAACAAGCGAGCTCAATAATCTGTTTATTATACGGCTGAACTGGTCCTGCTCCGAAATATACGGACCACAGTGCGGAGAGCTTTACGCACCGCTCGACCGTCAACCAATCAGAATAGATGATTTTGAACAGCCATATAATAAATCATGAATACTAAACTGGTTATACCATGGTTGAAGATTTTGAATACATCAAAAGTTTAAGGTATTTTAAAAAACTTTGCAACACATTTTTCTTATTGAAAAATTTTCTCTTGATGGATTTATGAGCCTTTAAAGTTGCCAGACATGGGGTTAAACAAAAGAAAACTGATTTGCAATTCCCGATTTGAGGTCTTGTCTGGTAACTTTAAAGGTTCATAAATCCATCAAGATTTTTCTATAACAAAATGTTTTGTATTTTTTTTATAATGCCTTAAACTTTTTATATATTTAAAATCAACAACATGGTATATTCACTTTAAGCGATCGAGTTGATTTTCTTTAAATAATAACGTCCAATTAGATTGTATAAGTCATTATTGTCACTTTCAGTGAAATATAAATGTATTTTATGATTAACTGTTAACATTTTAAACGGAAATAAATAAGGAATAATTATCAGGAACTATTGTTGCAAATAAATTATCTGAAATAAATGTTGATGACTTGCATACATATAATGTAAATTTGTTGGCAAACCGCGATTAGACAATAGCTGATCAACGAACGGGTGCAATTGTTCTGGGAGCGGTTGAAAAGTTGTATTGTTAATTGCATACCTTCACATATGGTTCCATTTCCTGTATAACCTTTATTGCAGGTACAATTGAACGACCCAGTGGTATTACTGCACGTTGCCTGACTGTGACAATTATGAGCCCCAAGTGTGCATTCGTCAACATCTTAACGGCAATAAAAATTAAATATTAAACGACCGAGTTGGTTTTCCTAAATGCACGTGCGTTCATATAATAACGTGCAATTAGATTGTATAATTGATTTATAATTGTCACTTTTTGAAGTATAAATGATTTTTATGATTAACTATTAATGGTTATTATCTTGCTGAGCAGTTTATAGTATAATTATAGGTGTGCCAAAGATAGTGTTGCATGCCTGTTAGTGGTCTCGTCCGATTCCAGAAGTTTAGATTTTAAATTTAGAGCAAAATTAGAACGAAATTGTAATGCAAAGTACGTACCTTTGCACGTGATTCCATCTCCTGTATAACCTTCATTACAGGTACAATTGAACGAACCAGCGGTGTTTTTACACGTTGCTTGGCTGTGACAATTATGCGTTGCAAGTATGCATTCCTCCAAATCTTCAAAGATAATAATACATCATGAATATTAAACATCCGAGTTGGTTTTTATTAATGCATGTTCATATAATACTGTCCAATTAGACTGTAGTTATAATTGTTAGTTTCAGTGAAGTATAAATGCCTCTTATGATTAACCTTTAATTAACATCTTAAACGTAAATAGACAATGAATAATCTATGCAAAAACCTCGGTCTGAAATTTCACAGCACAGATTGAACAAGCGAGCTCAATAATCTGTTTATTATACGGCTGAACTGGTCCTGCTCCGAAATATACGGACCACAGTGCTGAGAGCTTTACGCACCGCTCGACCGTCAACCAATCAGAATAGATGATTTTGAACAGCCATATAATAAATCATGAATACTAAACTGGTTATACCATGGTTGAAGATTTTGAATACATCAAAAGTTTAAGGTATTTTAAAAAACTTTGCAACACATTTTTCTTATTGAAAAATTTTCTCTTGATGGATTTATGAGCCTTTAAAGTTGCCAGACATGGGGTTAAACAAAAGAAAACTGATTTGCAATTCCCGATTTGAGGTCTTGTCTGGTAACTTTAAAGGTTCATAAATCCATCAAGATTTTTCTATAACAAAATGTTTTGTATTTTTTTTATAATGCCTTAAACTTTTTATATATTTAAAATCAACAACATGGTATATTCACTTTAAGCGATCGAGTTGATTTTCTTTAAATAATAACGTCCAATTAGATTGTATAAGTCATTATTGTCACTTTCAGTGAAATATAAATGTATTTTATGATTAACTGTTAACATTTTAAACGGAAATAATAAGGGATAATTATCAGGAACTATTGTTGCAAATAAATTATCTGAAATAAATGTTGATGACTTGCATACATATAATGTAAATTTGTTGGCAAACCGCGATTAGACAATAGCTGATCAACGAACGGGTGCAATTGTTCTGGGAGCGGTTGAAAAGTTGTATTGTTAATTGCATATACCTTCACATATGGTTCCATTTCCTGTATAACCTTTATTGCAGGTACAATTGAACGACCCAGTGGTATTACTGCACGTTGCCTGACTGTCACAATTATGAGCCCCAAGTGTGCATTCGTCAACATCTTCAACGGCAATAAGGATTAAATATTAAACGACCGAGTTGGTTTTCCTTAATGCACGTGCGTTCATATAATAACGTGCAATTAGATTGTATAATTGATTTATAATAGTCACTTTTTGAAGTATAAATGATTTTTATGATTAACTATTAATGGTTATTATCTTGCTGAGCAGTTTATAGTATAATTATAGGTGTGCCAAAGATAGTGTTGCATGCCTGTTAGTGGTCTCGTCCGATTCCAGAAGTTTAGATTTTAAATTTAGAGCAAAATTAGAACGAAATTGTAATGCAAAGTACGTACCTTTGCACGTGATTCCATCTCCTGTATAACCTTCATTACAGGTACAATTGAACGAACCAGCGGTGTTTTTACACGTTGCTTGGCTGTGACAATTATGCGTTGCAAGTATGCATTCCTCCAAATCTTCAAAGATAATAATACATCATGAATATTAAACATCCGAGTTGGTTTTTATTAATGCATGTTCATATAATACTGTCCAATTAGACTGTAGTTATAATTGTTAGTTTCAGTGAAGCATAAATGCCTCTTATGATTAACCTTTAATTAACATCTTAAACGTAAATAGACAATGAATAATCTATGCAAAAACCTCGGTCTGAAATTTCACAGCACAGATTGAACAAGCGAGCTCAATAATCTTTTTATTATACGGCTGAACTGGTCCTGCTCCGAAATATACGGACCACAGTGCGGAGAGCTTTACGCACCGCTCGACCGTTTAACCAATCAGAATAGATGATTTTGAACAGCCATATAATAAATCATGAATACTAAACTGGTTATACCATGGTTGAAGATTTTGAATACATCAAAAGTTTAAGGTATTTTAAAAAACTTTGCAACACATTTTTCTTATTGAAAAATTTTCTCTTGATGGATTTATGAGCCTTTAAAGTTGCCAGACATGGGGTTAAACAAAAGAAAACTGATTTGCAATTCCCGATTTGAGGTCTTGTCTGGTAACTTTAAAGGTTCATAAATCCATCAAGATTTTTCTATAACAAAATGTTTTGTTTTTTTTTTATAATGCCTTAAACTTTTTATATATTTAAAATCAACAACATGGTATATTCACTTTAAGCGATCGAGTTGATTTTCTTTAAATAATAACGTCCAATTAGATTGTATAAGTCATTATTGTCACTTTCAGTGAAATATAAATGTCATTTATGATTAACTGTTAACATTTTAAACGGAAATAATAAGGGATAATTATCAGGAACTATTGTTGCAAATAAATTATCTGAAATAAATGTTGATGACTTGCATACATATAATGTAAATTTGTTGGCAAACTGCGATTAGACAATAGATGAGCAACGAACGGGTGCAATTGTTCTGGGAGCGGTTGAAAAGTTGTATTGTTAATTGCATATACCTTCACATATGGTTCCATTTCCTGTATAACCTTTATTGCAGGTACAATTGAACGACCCAGTGGTATCATTGCACGTTGCTTGACTGTGACAGTTGTGAGTCCCAACTGTGCATTCGTCAACATCTTCAAAGGTAATAATGATTGAATATTTAACGAAGGAGCTGGTTTTCTTTAATGATTAACAGTTAACGGGTTATTAATAATCTTGCTGAGCAGTTTATAATTATTACAGTTATAGGTGTGCCAAAGCAGCAGTGTTGTTAGTGTTGTTCGCATTCCGATTCCAGAAACTTAGATTTTAAATTTAGACCGAAACTATACAACAAAATAGTAATGCAAAGCACATACCTTCGCATGCAGTACCATTTCCTGTATAACCGTCATTACAGGTACAAATGAACGAACCGGTGGTATTACTGCACGTTGCCTTACTGTCGCAATTATGAGTTCCAAGTGTGCATTCGTCAACATCTTCAAAGGTAATATAATTGAACATTAAACGACGGACACTTTTTAATAACTCGATGTGCATATTTTGTTTATATAGCAGTGCCAAATTTCACTGTCATAATTGACCATAACAAAAAAGATCGCGGAAGTACATTAATTTTTACCAGAACGCTTTGCGGTCAGAAATCGTTTAAAAAAGCGAACTGACGTCTTTTAAAGAACAGGCATAAAACAGGAAGTTATTTTCTTCAATTTATTTAAATTTCACGTCATAAGGAGTTTTCTTGCCATCTTTTTTCAGTCAATCATTCTTAATGCCCGCAATGCATTCTGGTAAAATGTACATGCCGCCATCTTTTTCGTTACGGTCAATTATGAGTGTTGCTTTGACAATCTCATCAGGGACAATTAATTATGAGTTCAAAGTTTGCATTCGTCAACATCTTCTAAGGTAACAAAGATTGAATATTTTAATGCGCGTTCATACAGTAACATCCAAATAGACTGTAGAAGTTATAATTCTTCTTTTTATGAAAAAAATTTATTTTTATGAAAAACAAAAATAGTAATAAAAAGTGCACACCTTCGCACGTAGTTCCGTTTCCTGTATACCCTTCATTGCAGGGACAAGTGAACGACCCATTGGTGTTTTTACACGTTGCTAGATTGTCACAGTTGTCAGTGTCAAGTGCGCATTCATCAACATCTTTAAAGGTAATAAATCATGAATATTTGGCGAAGAAGACGGGCAGTTTCGATGAATGCGTACATTCGGTTCAGAGTACTATTTTCGAGCTGCAATTACTAATTGGATAGCGAATGAAAAATGTTGGAGAAGTAAGAAGGACTGAAGAAATATTCCAGAATATATTATATCATAAAACCATCTATCGCATTTCATTCGTAATTTGCATCGCGTGAAGTAGCGCACGCATCCATACTTAAAACGTGGAACACTCATGTATAAACCATATACAATGCAGGTTGGTAAGTCTCGATTTCACTGCATGCAAACAAACAACATTATTACGAAAAAATACGTTAAATGCACTTAAATACCTTTCCAAAAACAACTTAGAATGGACACGATTTGCACTTGATAATTCAAGAACACTTTTTTATGGTTCATTGCCATTTTAATATGTCTTTTAACATAAGGACAATAATGCATTTCCTTTAATTTGGGATTTTAGCAACAGATTTTCACCTTGTTGAAAATCTGCATTATAAACATTAAAAATGCACAATTTTGAGACAAATAGATATCGAACCCTTTAGTAGAACGTGTTTATGCTTACCAATACAGCCTGTGTTATTTTTTTCATATCCAGAAAGACAAATACATTCATAACTTGTGTTTGTGTTTCTACATAACGCGTTGTTGCTACAATCAGGAGTATGGATAATATTTTGTGGATTGCATTCGTCATAATCTAGGAGGAAAAAAAGTATCCCATTAGTTTTAACGATCGTAAAAGAATAAAATGGCGGAAAGTTTTTTGCAAACAAACTAAACATTCCAGGAGGAAATAAAAAGGACAAAAAGGTAAACGAAAGTTCGATTTTCTTATGACAATAATAACCAAGTAATGTTGCTCGTACAATCGGGGATTAACTCTCCCCGACGACTAGTCCTATTTTCGCAAAATCTTTAAACATCAATCGTATTTTAAACCCGCGAATTGTAGTCGCTATCGCACACCTGTACTAATTAATAATAGTAAAAGCCTTAGTGAAAAACAAAATATTTACGAAGGAAATAAAAAAATCATGTAATGTTATTATAAATAGACTACTAAGGAAAGGTGTACTCCCAAGGGGATACGCCTTGCCGACAATAAAACTTATATATGATGGGCTTGGCGCCCTGTCTAAAAGACTGACAGGTAATGGAGTGCACGCAATATGGGAATGGTGGCAAATGGCCAGCAGCAATTTGAAAACTAACAAAAACCAAATACCCAAACAACAAACGGTCAGTTAAAGCGTGACATTGCAAAAGACAGAGCTCGTTTAAAGTTGAACCCACCTCCTCCCCAAAGCCTCCACTAACGATTATGTACATTGGATGATTTACAGTAGCTGATATATATAGAGAGAAGACCGTTATATCTCAATTAGCGATGTTAGTAGGCGTATATACATGTGCTGGCGTTAATTTGCCTGCACGGCTCCACCCTTTTCTGAGCATAAATATTTGGGAATTTAATGGAATGTATTCATAAATATCGTTTTGTTTGCCAGAAATAAAGCGGCTAGGAGAACCATTACTCCTAGCCAATATTATCCCAAAACGGCGTAAAATTTATAATGTGTCATTATTAATGCTCAGAAAACTGAGCTGCGGAAAGGGTGTAGTGACAAATTCATGGCTGGCAATATATCTATGCGAAAATAAATCACATTACATAAAGCTATTTTGCGCCTAATCCAAAATTTGTCTCCTTACGTTTTTCTTACCATGCATGCATGCATAAGCTTAATTCACAATATAATTATATAGCTTGGCGGTGAGAATTGTAAATCAATATTGCCTCGGTAACATTCTTAAGATAAGCTATTTTCTCTGTCTGGGCACCAAATTGAGAAAATAATGAGCGGAATCCCTTCACCAGTGTAAACCTTTCATGTGCACGCATGTGCTTATTCTGTTGTGAAAATTATAACATATTTCTTTGGTCATGATTTTGAAAATAGGAATCCATAGATAGTGCAAAGTTTCATGCCCTCTAATACCTCAGCAACGTGTTGTCTGTCCCAACATAACAAAATGAGGGTTTTAACTTCTGCCAGTAAAAATCTAATGAACCCGGTTTAACAAAACCTTAATTCAAGCAGAAAGTTCATTTTCAATATTTCGATTGCTCTTAAAATTATCGTGAAATTTGCTAGATTACAATTGTAATTCCAAATAATTTCAATCATAGAATCCAGGATAATCAAATGTACGTTAGGCGCAATGTTGTCATTATTGAATTGTAATTTAGTCGATCGTGCAAAACGGCCGTTTGAGTTTTTTCCACTCAACACAATACTGAAACAAATACAATGCTGAGGTGGCAAAGGGGACAAATTTTTGGAAAAAGGCACTCCTGTAGCAATGCGTAATAAAAGAAATATAGAATATGTTTGCAAAGTATTGTTTGACCCATTGAACCTCCTATCATCGTGTTTAGACGATTGTGATATTCTTCATACTCGTTCGTGAAACTTCTACTTGAAGCCCTGTTCACACGATCCAATTTTGTTGGACCAATTCACCTCTGATAGTCGTTTAATAGTTTGTTGACTTGCAATGAATATGGGCAGCAAGTATACACTAAAGCCAATTCAGTATTGCTTCATCGATAATAGGCTACATCCCATACGTCAGAAGTGAATTGGATCGAACAAAGTTGGGTCCTGTAAGGGCACCTTAGCCCCAATTGCCCAGCTGGTAAAGGGGGGGGGGCAGTTGCCCCAGCAAATTTCCTTTTGAATTTACATCAGCCATATGAAATTATGTATCATATTCATCTTACTAATTGCTTCAACCTAATTACACCATTCTATAGAAACGCAATATCTTCTAATTTAAATTAAGCAATATTAGAAAGATTATACGACAGAGTTTTTTTCTTAACTTGAGCCTGTCCGCGACTGTCGCCCGTCTGCCCGGTACTAATTTTAATACTTTTACACAAATGCCTCTGCGGACGAGGGTAGTTGATTGTTACTGAAAAGTCTTTTAAGACAATAAAAATTACGTTATTGAACGAGCTGGTGTGTCATTCGGCAACCCATTTAGCAATGCTTTTTATATGTTAGCGAAAATATTGGATAAAACGTTAATATATTTGGGAGTTAAATACCTTTCACACTAAATTGGCTTTTTACTTCAGTGAGATTTGTGCTCTCGCTGATTTGGAAATCTGCTCCAAGAAATGTGCCGTTTTGCGTTACATTCATTGCCTCGACTAACTCTTGTTGAATATTTTCAGTGCTTATTCCAGCGGAATCATTGAATGTTGCAACGTAATCAAAACCAACAGATCCTGGGCTGAAATCGTAAAAAAGAGAAAAAAAATATAAATATATATATATTATATATATTATATTTATTATATTATATATATATATTTATATATTTATATATATATATAACCCGACTGATTCCGTTGTACGTTATTGTTCCTATATATGATACGTAAAAAAGAAGAATACATGCATGATTATATACGATGTCCCAACACAGTGTAATAGTTAGAATTTAAATACCTACCCACAAATGACCTTTATTAACAATATACAAATATGCAAAAAAAACTAAATTTATAGACTACAACTCAATGACTACGACCTTCAACATGTCCCTCTTCTCTGGCAGATTTTACATTTTTGTATCTAGCATTTCATTGAATAAAAAATTCGTACGCGGTCATTCAAATTTTTTAACAGTGATTTCAAAATTTTGTGTTTTTTGTGAAACTTTTACACCTTCTAGGTACGGCCGTGAAAGAGTTGAGCCCTTAAGGCTGTTAAAACTTACAATAATCGTAAAATGATGACTGACTGAAAGGTAGAACGTAGCCTCGGTGTTCTCGTGTAGAGATTCGTAACCTATAGGAAGACAAAATATAAACTATTATAGATAATTAGGCATATAATTTATTAATAATATTCTTGTTAAAATTTAATAATTTAATAACATTCTTGATATTTTGATATACATGATGAATCATCAATTTGCTTTCGGTCCGTTACCCCGGGGCTTATGCAGTGCAATGGTGAATATTGCACTGACACGGGCCCGGGTAAAAGATAGGAAGCGCTCTGCTTATATGGTGTTGTTCACAAATTGACGATTTTAGTAAAAAAAAACTTTTCAGTACTTTTTAAAAAAGGAAATTTCTCAAATGTAGCTATTAAACATCATATTTCGTTGTTCATGCATGACGTCGGTTCTTCTATCGCTGAAGATTTTAACATGCTTTAAAGGAAATTTTAATTGGTATAACGCGTTGCTAGGACCAAACTTAGCTATACCTCCAACATTGTAAAACATATAATCGATTACTTACAATCACTTACAAATATTGTGTTTTTTCTTAAAAGTGAGGCTAATGATCCGAATTCAGAACACTTTTTCTATTCACAGCACTTATAATGATATACTATAGTCAAATAGCGAAAGCATATAAGTCCGATTAACGCAGATGGGAGTGTACGAAATATGATGGATGATTCATCTAAAACGACATTTTTTACAGTTTCGACATGAAGTGTTCAGACGCCATTGCCATTGACCAAATTTATCTCTATTCCTTATTGAGACTGAAAATGTATATGATTGTTGATGAATGGAATACAAAAACAAAGATATCGAAGCAAGAGCCCAAGAGCGACTTCATGAATATTTATTAGAATGTCGTAGTTGTACATACCTCAATGGTTAACAGTTGAGTAATTTGAAAGTACTCTAAACTTTGTGGATCATTATAGGCAGAGATGTAGACGAGATTTATAATCACAAATTGACCTTCGACAGAGGCCTGAATATCTAAGAGGAAGAGAGGACACATGAGAGTTGTTGTTTGATCGTTTAGGTGGGGTTGGACAGTCATGACTGTCATGTACTGTAAAATTTTAATTGTATAATGTTATTAATGAAATGTTGAAATGACGGCGTGCTAATCGGCCGATTTATTTCAGTAATGATACATTTCGTTGATTATTACATTCTGTAATCATCGGCAAATACTGTATTATCATTGGCTAAGAGGAGTGGGATTTGAGCGGCTCCTCCAACTTTGGTAAAAATTTTCAATTATCACTCGTTCTATTAATCCCCAATTGCACGCGCTGTCGCTTGATTACCGTACACTAATATTATTGCACATTTAGCAAGGTGTAATTGCACTTTTGCCACTAAAAAACACTGCAGTATATATACAACTAGCCAATCGTCATTCAGTATACAAAGTAAGAATAACGTACAAAATGCAAAATGGCGCGATATTTGCACAAAAAAACTAAATAGTCCTGTAATCCTCAAACAAGGCGAAAATATTAAAGAAAGTAGAAAATCTTGGATAAAAATCTGGCAGGAGTGTGTGCTAAAAATTATTTCTTAAAAGACCGCGATAAAGCGCTATG